CGGGTGCTTTTGCTACCTGTCCTCGGAGATGAGCTACTCTCTCCTGTCCAAAAATACAGGAAGGATCTAAATAATTCCGAAACTACTTCAAAGTGATGATGAGCCTCCCGAGTCATCCGGGCGAATAAATAAATAAAAATACTCAACTAATTGCATTTTTTTTCAAGGCCAAATCTTAATTTATTGGGGTGGTGGGAGGGGGGGGGTAAAAGAGGGATAACACATGGGTGTGTTTTCGTCTTCATCAGGCTCCAGTTTGGATTTTGAATTCATCCCAGTTAGCTGCAACAAAGATAATACTGAGCAACATAACGGCGAAATTAATCAAATGATCATTTTTGTAGGTGGAGTTTGCGATTTTATATATGTATCATATCGTATTTGAGCAAAGAGCCAGTTTAAAGCTTTGTTTTTAAGCTGTCTTTGTACGTCTAATTTTATTTTTAAGGAATCACCATGAAAAAAAAAAAAAAAAACAACCAATCAGAGAAAGATGGCCGATGAGGTGTCATTTACACTGGTCAACAGCATATTTGAATTCGAGATGACTTTACGTTCTTCAACATATTTTTGATGCTGATTTAAAAACACGTTTTTGCTTTTTTTCTAGGGCATTACGTTTTGGAGATGTTTTCATTTTTATCTTAAAGTTTATCTTGTAAACACTTGCACAATGCAGATTTTACCTTACATTAAAGTTTGTCTTATAAACGCTTGCACAATGCAGATTTTACCTTACATTGTAATTTCTAGCTATGATGTTTTAGGGGAAAAAAATCCACCTGACTTTGGGAGATTTGCTGAAACTATGATGGAATATCCAATTTTTTTTTTTTTTTAATGCCTCTCCCTCGTTTGCTGACAACTGGGCATAAGACGAGTAAACATGCTGTAAAAAGGTTTGAACTGAAAATTTCGAGGTGTCAAAATTTTAGGTTGTCCAATTCAACAAATTATCAAATAAAACATGGCATGGCGGAGCACATTTGTGCCGTGAAACGGGCACTCGGACACTGCCCCCCACCACCAACCATTCGTGTCCCCCCCCCCCCGCCCTCCACATGCAATAGCTGCGCCACCCAGTGCGATGTGCGATAATTTAAAAAATATAATGCAATGATTCAGAGAGTTCAATGCCATCTTTTAACCGATTTATGAATTAAATATGTCATCTCAAACAGATTTGCTTGTCGCAAAGAATTTTTGAAGAAAATTTCTTTGTGGCAAGTAAAACCTGTCTGCGAACTTTTCCCAACCTTTTACAAATCCGTACAAAACTCAAATTTCACTCCGTTCTCAAGCATTCAGAAGCATTTGCCGCTCAGTAAGATACCATCGTTATCTACAAGACCAACTCATTCATGTGCATTATATCTGATATTTTTTATTGTAATACAGAAAAATGATTGCTTATGTTTGTGAAAAAAAAGGGAAGTGGACCTTAAAAAAATACAATCACATATTAAATCACAATCGCAATATTAAATGGGAGGGGCGGGGTGGGGGGGAGGGTCACAATCATTTTCTTTGAAAATTGTCCAGCCCCAAGACAAAGACCCATCCATCCATTTTCTAATCTGATTTTTCCTCACGAGGGGCGCAGGCATGCTGGAGCCTATCCCAGCTGTCGAGGCGGGGTACATCCTGAACCGGTTGCCAGCCAATCGCAGAGCAACCATAGACAAACCACTATGCACACTCACCATCACACCTAGAGACAATTTCGAGTGTTCCATTAACATGCTATGCATGTTTTTGGAATGTAGGAGGAAACCGGAGTACCCGGAGAAAACCCACGCGGGCACGGGGAAGACCGGAGCCAGAATCGAACCCTGCACCTCTGTACTGTGATGCTGCCATGCTTACCAATCGAACACCATGCCGCCTAAAACAAACATATTAAAGAGAATTTAAATTATAGGTGTCAAACTCAAGGCCCAGGGGCCAGATCCATCATTTTATGTGGCCCATGAAAGCAAATCATGTGTGTCCACTTCCACGGTCTTTGCTAAAATCTGTCTCAAAATTTCAGATTTTCATGTGTAATAATTAATAGTTATTGTATAGTTACTTGAAAAATAATTACATTATTTTCCATGACTTCTTATTTCAAAATTAATAATCCGTCAATTTCTTTCAGACGCAATATGCAATAATGATCGAATATTTATTTGGGTTCACCGGCATAATGACCCCCTTGAGGCAAGCCATAATTACAAGACGGCCCGAGACAAAATTAAGTGTGACCCAACTGATTCAAAGGAATATGAGGAAAATGTATGAAAACTTCCTTGAAGTTCAAGAAGTCATTATTTTATTTTAATGTTATTTTTTTTTCTGCTTAGCAAGCGTCAAAAGTCCACGAATTGCATCACCGCATGATGAATTCTTCATTTCAAGTGCAAGGCAGGGTCATTAAAAACAGACACTGCTGAATAGTCATTTGGACAAGTCTCATTCGAACTCCACTTGTGTCTGGACTGATGTGTGCATTAATGTGTGCGTGAGTGTGTGCATGTGTGTGTGTGTGTGTGTGTGTGTGTGTGTGTGTGTGTGTGTGTGTGTGTGTGTGTGTGTGTGCTTGTTGTGGAATGCAGTGCCTTTTGTACCCTTGCAAGTGTGTTTGCTCATATGGGTGCCGGCGTGTGTGTCCATGCATGTGCGGCCTATTACTGCAGTTTAACCCCCATGTTACCCTGAACGCACTATTCTTCCTGCTGCATCCCCCCTGCCCCCCTGAACCCCCACCCCATCACTTTTGTCCTAAGAGGGCAATTAAGGAAACAAACGTTTTCCCCAAGATAAGCTGACTGCCAGCTTTGCATACTAATGCAATGCCAAGTGGTAACAAATAATAAGTGCTCTAATTACCAACACTGTTTCAATCAGAAATTGCTCAATTTCCCAGGATGAGGTCTCCGCTGCTGGAAAAAAAAATGCAACCTGACAGCGGCAGGGGACAATCATCTCCATGTGTGACGTTCCTGATTTGGCTTGTTCGTGTGTGAACAAACAATCATCTTATGGACCCTGCGTGGTGTGACCCTCTTGATGGTTGAGTTTCCCGCACCCCGCCCCCCACCCCTCCAAAACCCATCCCACCAGTCAAGTGAGAGTTCCTGTCAGGGATGACAATTATCCCCCCCACACCTCTTTATAACCTAACCGTGTTGTTGTGCTGCACGTGAGGCGGTGATGAGCACAATGTGGCGCTTCATCCCCTAGGTGAGCAATTTTGCTGCAATTGTGATCATCAGCGCAAAGCAGGGGCCTGCTCATTTATTAAGCAATTTCCTTGCGAGGAAAGTAGCGGGATGGCACTTTTAATTTGCCTGGGGACGGTAATATCTCTAAAAAGCAACAGCAATTATAAGAGGCGTGACACCAAAAATAGGAGGAAGTTTGACATATGAAGACCCATGGGAAGAATCGAGTGCAAGAGGCCTAAAAAGTTTTGGCGGGGAGGCTTTCACAGAGCAACACAGGACCATTTGCATTAGATAAATGCATGGGAAGTGAATACATTTTTTTTCATCAAAAAGGTCAACCTTCAATACACTTAGAGTAGTTGAACCAATGAATCGACGAACCACTATTCACATTTTTGGTGTCTCGTGTTTCAAACTGCTGACTTTCTTGTCCATCTGCCGCTGTCATCAGACAAGACCGCTCTGTGGACCAGCAAAATGTTTGGCCAACAATGTGACGCGGTCTTCAAAAGGCTAAAAATAGGCAATTTGCGAGGCAAAATTAGCATTTTGTGCCTTGTTAAAACATACAGAATAGCAAAACTAAGAATAAACCGCTGCGCCGTCCCCAAAAGCTTCAGTGGGCTGCTTTGCTTACGTCACTCACCGCAGCTTGTCGGAGGTTGAGGCACAGTTCGGTGCTACTTACACCACATCAGCTACCTGGCAACGAACTTGGCTGGCTACCGCTACGGCTAAACATGTTGCGGAGTCGCTCCAAAGTCAGTCATCATCGCCTCTGTAGCAACGGAAAATATACATTTCCGGCAAGTGTCGTTATGAAGGAGGGAGAAGCTATGCTAATTGCTAAGCTAACCTAAGATTGTCCTATCATGTTTTACACCGTGGATAACACAATTGCAAAGATGATCAAAAGTAAACCCCTGCTACTGGGTGAGAAGAGGGACCATAAAAAAATAACTAGCTTGATAGCTAGATAGCGAGATAGATAGAGACACAAACTACCACTAAAAATATTTATTTTTGTCTAGAATTTAAATTACAAATATTCCCCAACATTGGATCACAAAACTTGAATATAACATTTCAAACTACATACAGCATTACCTTTAAAAATGGCTTACATTTGTTTAATAGCCACTCACAAGGAAAAAAAAAATCTCAACATCTCTGAATTTCCTCCATTAACAACCCAGGCTAAACTTAGCTTAACACTTTCCCGACATACAAAGATATTGGAACATTGGAGCTGTATCACTTCAGCATATTTCTTTGATACGCATTGCTACTTTCCTATTAGCCAGGGTCACAGAAAAAAAACGCTAATAGGAGAATGCGAATAGCACACAGCGAGTCATACTTTGACACAAATGTCAGTCCAGAACTGATTGTGTTAAGTACAGTATCAGTGCTACATTTCAAAATGTTTGGGGGTACCTGAATGGATTGACTGTCATTTTCACGTCCTTCATCAGAAAACGATTAATTTATGTATCCATGCCAGCAACATATAGTGACAGGCAGAACAATGATATGCTCTTTTACAAGGTGGCAGAAACCTGTGCATCCACCTGTTGCCATTCATCCAACTTAATAATAGCAAAGTCTTCAATTAAACAGGTCAATATTTCCCAGTGAGTAAGTAAAATTCTAAGTAGATTCCGACCAAATCATTCTTATTTTGCGAATGAGATTTTTCTGATGTAAAATATGTGCCTTGAGTCAATAAAAGTTGACAAACATTGGATTAGCCTAATAATATCTCACTAACACCCCTCGGTCTCTTTACAGGATGAGCAAACAAGATTGGTCTGAGCTGACCTTTAACTTTGGCGACGGCTGACGGCGGCCTGGCGCCCGATCAATGAACCGAGGAAGCGGCCTGCGCGTCCCCTGCTCTGTTCACCCGGGCCAAGAAGGTGCGGACGCTGCCAGAAGCATCGACACCAAGCGGAGCCGTCCAAATTGACTCTCGGCCGTTCCGCAGGGTGACGGTTTGGACGCTGCGCTGCCCTCCCATGTAGGAAAGGACGGCCAGAAGAGAGGATCTTTCTCTGCGGCTAAATAAACTACTTGTGAATGTCACACTCGATCTGAACAAGCCGGCTAAAAGATGACCTGCACTTTAAGTATGGCTGAACCATTTGGAAAAATAATCTAATTGTGATTTTTTTTTCTCTCTCTCAATGATTCGATTGTGATTTAATATACAATCTGTTTTTTCAAGGTTCTCCTCCCATGTATTTTTTTTAACAAACACAAGGAGTAAATTCATCTGGATTAGAATAAGCAACATGATTCTAATTACATTCATGCTAAGATCAGAGTTCAGCAATAACATCTTTTGGGCGGCAGGCTCAACAGGAACTGGCATTGGCTCTGATTTCAAAAATTTTTAAAGAAATTCAGAATTCTACATTTTATGTAGCCCTACCTGTGGTTGAAACAGACTTGAGCTGCTTAAAAAAAATATGCGCACTATCCGTGCTCCAGTATACAGGTATTGTGATGCAAAACAATATTCAACAGCATTTATAATTATATATATGTAGGCTTGCCTGACAATGAAATGCAGACAGTGGCCAAAATGTGAGCGAGAGCCTCATGTCGTTTATTGTTTTTTTTTTTGTTTTTTTAATTGTGGCCTGGTCGGGCCAACATCAGTGAACTTTAGCATCAGTGGCTCAACACAGTCACGTGATGACCCCGGGCCATCAGGCCACTGTTATTGTCGCACCCTGCAGATGTTTTGGTCTTACAGGTTAGGCTTGCACTAAAGTAAAGGCAAATGAACCATAAATTATTATGGCAAAAAATATATATATTTCTATTGGAGTTGTTAACTTAGTCAACACTTTGACGTCCAGTCGCTCAAGGGGTCACTATGACAACTTTGGAAAATTCGACCAAACGTGAGGCATCGACATTAAGTCAGTGAGAAAATAAACCAGATTATGACAATAATGCCAACAAAACTTCATATTTTCGTGAAACAATGGTATGAATGTGGACTTCACTTTTTAAGTTCCTTACCTGAAAGACAAATTTAAAAAAGATAAAACAAAACAAAGAAACATATACATTTTTTGAACATGTTTACATTTCTACATATTTAAACAAGAAAGCCTACCAACGAACTGAAATGAAATTGAGTTTTATTTCCCCGCTAAATAGTGATTTGAAAACTGCACTCCACTAGATTGCGAGTGGTGATTTGAATTCAAATGCAGTAATTGTTTGTCTCAAGGTATCAGTGGAACCGACTGCGTTGTGTTTAAGAGTATTGATGACGCACAGCAGGATTTCTTGTGTTGGTTTGCTTTTAATAGTCTCAATCACAAAGCCTGACGAAAACAGCACAAAACAATGTCCTCCTCGTCAATTATATTGATACAGCGTACTCCTCCCCATGGACATCACAAGAGAAAAGGGCCACACAAACACAACATACCTGACGCAAACAACAGAAAACAATGCCCTTCTCGTCAATCATATTGATACAGCGTCAACATCAGTATGACGGCGATACTCACAATGAAGCCTATCAAATAACATGAAATAGCAATGCAACCGCTTCCTATACAATGCCTGTGTTGAAGTCCTGTCAACACATAACAAAACTTCCTTCGGTGTTTTTGGTATGCACTTAAAACATTACCACAGGGTATATACGACGTATATTGTTTTATCGTGTTCTCCCGCGTGCCTGATGTGCTGCTCGGTGGGTGCTTTGCAACCCAGATGGTACGCTGCTGTAAACCTTTTATCACAGCAGCCTTTTCCCACACACACACACACAAAAAAAAAAAAAAAGCTACAGCAACATCATATTTATGGTGCATTTTAATTGCGTCAACATCAATTCGGATAAAAATATTCCTTCCATATGAGAAGTGAAGAGGGAAAGACAAAAAAAAAAAAACATCATCCCAAAGCTTTAGCACAGATTGTTCTTTTTATTATCATTAACAGTAATGTGATGCTGAGGCCCCATGTGACCTCCTCACAGCGGCACCTCATTTCCAAAGTCATTCATTAGAACAAACAGAAGGCGGGCAGCGGAAAGACGGCGTGGGGAGTGAGACGGAGAAAGGGAGAGGGAGAGACTCGAGTATAAAACAAATGAGATTGTTCTTATTGGAGGAAGCACTTTGAAAAAAAATAAAATAAGAAAAAAACAATCCCCACAAGTGTGATATTTGGAGATGTCACGCCGAGCTCGTGATCCAGTTGTTGGTTTTGTGCTTGGAAGTGTAATCACAGTTACACTTACTGTCCACTTTGGATTTCGAGGCCCGCGGGGAGTCTTGGAAAATGGCTCTGGTTTGTTAGGATTGTGATTGTCCAAGCAAAAAAAAAAAAAAAAAACAAACAAAACAAAAAAAACAAAAACAAAAAGGTGAAGCTTCTTATGCCTTCCTTCCTTGGACTGATATACATGGAATTGTCCCCTCCATGATTCGTCCTAGTTTATCCAAAATGCTAAAGGTCATTGCGCTCAACTAAGCTCCCCCTTTTCCCATTAGGGGGTTGACATGAGTCCCTGCAGATCTCCGACCCCTGCTGGATCCCATCTCTATGCATGTGCATGTCCATGTGTATACACACACACACACACACACACACACATGGTGTGACAGACTCCCCGGCCTCCTGGTAGGATTTGTTGGAATGTGAGAGAGGAGGATTTTAGCACCAGGCGAGCCACGCCAGAGTGCCGCAGACTTCATGCCATCTGTCTCAGCCTCCATCCTCTCCGTGCCAAGACTCGTCAGACCTTTATTTCCTCTCCCTCCAGCTCCTTCTCATCCCTGTTCACAAGAGGAGTGGACATACTGAGATCTGCTAATATACTGGATGGGGGTGGAGGTGGTGGGGTGGG